GAGCTTGGAGCAAGTTTGACGAAGAATGTCAAATTTTATAGCTTTATCTGAATCTAGAACTTTTGATATGGAATAAAAATATATAAAAAAAACCTATTAAAATCTTAATAATATTTTTATTAGAGTTCAACTCATAATAGTACAATAATTTCAGTAGAAAGTTAAACTTATTAAATTTAAATATTGAATCCGCCGCTCGACAAATATGATGTCTCATTAAATCAAAAGGCAGCATCTAAGAAGAACGCGATATGGTCGGAAGCACTAAGAGAAAAGCTTGCTCTACTTGTAGTGCTCATTTCCTGCTAGTACACAACCATAGACTACGTGTCGACTTAGAATTCATTAAATGACCAATAAGTCCACATCCAAATTAGCACTCACGATTTCACCTTTTTTACTAGCTAGCTAGATCTTAAATTATAATATGCGGATTATGATAAACTTTGGCCTTCTATATTTTAAATGACGATTAGCAAGTTGATCACACCCAACTATGCCTTACAAAAAGGATTAAGCGGTCGTTGCGAATATAATCTGGTTTACAAGTCCGGAGTCGTATAAAGATTATAATGTTTATTTTTATCTAATTAACTAACAAATACTAGAAATCAGTAAAACTATCAATTAACAAGGATAAGGATTGGAGACAAGATTAACCAGGTCTAGAGTTATGATTTTCCCTATTGTCGGAATCCTTTCCGCTACGTTTTCTATAAATTTTCCTAAGTTTTCTCTACCGGTCATGAGCGCTCTGAGTGTCGTAATTCTCTCTCGAGTAACTACCACAATTTACTAGACATATTCTCCCGAATTACGCTAGCTGGCATTAAGTACGGCTCACTCAGATCACATCAAAGTTTCGTTATCCCTAATCACACCTTTAAACCCTCCGTATTGATCCCTCATATACGTTAAGAGTGATGTTGTTCAACAGCTACCTAAATATGTACTCTCTCCCGAGTAATACACACTAAATAGGCACAGCCGATTGAGAGCTCTTCAGGAGGTCCGTTTGATATCCAAAAACTGCTCAGCAACAGTCGGACAAGTGGGGAATGTTGGGGTGAACCAGAAAAGTTTGGGTAGAGCCGGATCTAAGCGTTGGCTAGGTAAGCGTCCTGTAGTAAGAGGAGTAGTTATGAACCCCGGCGGAATCAATCTAAAGCATATTTGGTTTGTGACAGAAGAAGGCCAGAGGAGTCACGCTGAGCTTCAATGCCAAGGAAGTCATTGAGATAACCCAAATCCTTCATGGCAAAATATTTACTGAGACGGTGAATAAATTGAGTGCATCCCTACTCACCTGGTCTATGCACATCGCTCTCTCCAGGAGGTTGGCCGCCTATCCTAGATCTTCCCATTTCAAAGAAGATCCCGGGCTAGATCGATTGAGACTCCCTCCACGGTCCCACGAAGATCTCTACGTACTTGTCCAGGACAAGTGAGATCTTCGGTCTGCGTGCCTGGGAGCAGCTCAAACAAAGAAGAGTCTGGTCCGGTCTAAATTCAGGCACGGCCCGCCCGTCTGCTGCTAGGTCCGGAAATGGCGTCGGGGCCCTGTACACACCGCCCGTCACACCCTGGGAATTTTTCAACCAACCACAATATAAGCGTAGTTGAACAAATAGAGAAAAAGCTACAACAAATCTATATTATTGTAACAGGAAAATCATCCTAATAGGTTCCATCAAAACCCTAGATAACAAATTAGCTATTCATAATAGTATGCATAACTACAATACTAGAATTCATAACCAATAATGGAAATAGGAAGAAGAAAGTGAAAAACTCGTAAAAGAATTCTCCGCCTTGCTCCTAGTTTGTTCTTGTCTCCTTAGGTCGAATCCCCTCTCAAATCTGTCCAATCTCCGTCTCCTTAGCCTCCTTAGGTCTAAATTATGTCAAAAGTCCTCAAAATATCATTTTTCCATGTATATATACCAAGTAGGGTCGGGCCCAAATAATTATACCTTCTCCTACGCGAAAAAGGACACTATTCCCGGACAAGACGTGCTCTGCCGCGCACCTGGAAGTGTGCTCGCGCACTTGGCCGCGCATTTTTCACACTTTCTGCCCCATATGTGCGGTCAATGCGCGGCCGTGCACTTTTCACCCTGTTCTGTTGGGAATTTGAAAAAGTGTAAAACAAGAAAGTTGTAGCCCTTTGAATTGTCTTTCCAAAAATGTATTGTGGAGCCCAAACAGAGTTCTGAGAGAAGAGTTATGTGTATTTTACTAGACAGTGCACAATATGCCTACTCGATTCTTCGTTCGTTCTTATCTATCATCCGTTGATCCCCGAACACGATCCCGGCTTAATTCTTTGGGCTTTTACTCAGGCTTCAAAGCTCCAAATTACTTGAATTCATTTTATAAACATCTACATAGCTCGGAATCACTCCTACAAGGCATAAAACACACAATTAGTGCAAAATACTAGCAATTAAAGCTCAAACACAATTAAAGCACAATAAATTAGAGTGTAATAAGCTACTAAAATACGTAATTATAGCCTATCATCACAAGTCAATGCCACCAAATATTGATTATGAATTTAAGTTACATATATAATGGTATAAAAAAAATTATATTTTACATGGCAGAATGAAAGGAAGCAAATATTTGTGAAAAGGAAGTAATGGCAAAACGGAAGTGAATCGCATTGGCTATGACCTAGTGTACATCATCTTCCAAGAAGGAATGCTTTTCATAGAAGGTTGGCAAATGAACGGATCGTGAACTTGGGCAAATTAAATTAGGTCAAATTAATAAGTTGGTCGCGGAGTTAGGATTTTTACTAAGGGGATTTTAAATATTAAAAAGTAAACATATGGACAAGTTAAGGGATTCAAAATGTACTATTTATGCATAAAAAATAAATCTGACTTGATACATACAATGTAATTTTTTTACGAAAGAGGTACGGATGAACCACCTTCGGCCACCCTGGCTCCACTCGTGCTGGTTATGGCCTAAATTGCCCAAAGATTATTTAGGTCAATATGGTTAATTAAATCAAGATATGTCAAATAAAGGGTCATAATCTAACATGCCAGATGCAACCTTTCCTTTCATTTTTTATGTTGATTTTTCAATTAAAAAAATGAAAAAGTTAATTTATTTTTTCTTAAATTATTAGCTGAATATGTTCTTTCAAATTTTGCGTATAACATAATATGTACTCTCTAAATTTGATTTTACTTGTGTTTATTTGAGTTGCGTCTATCGATCTATTTTGATCCAATAGCTTAATTTTCGTGAACACTCGTTAATGTTAAATCGACAAATAAAGGCTACTCCCTCCGGTCCATAATAAGTGACCAATTTGCTGTGTGTAAAATGGTCCGATCCAAAGTAACAAACATATATTTAAAATAATACTGTGTGTAAAATGGTCCAAAGTGAAGTCAGCCATAGAGGACAAATAGGATGATTTGAAGAGCACTACAACTACAAGGATGTATGTACCATAGAATATTTTGTGCAAAGATGGTATGATTGAGTTTCAAAGTGAAAGCAGGCGTGCTGTCCTGTACATCTGGCCACTAAAGCAAAACAACAAAAAATAGAGAGACAATTGTCATTCAAATCGTATATTTCAAGAAAAGTTGTCAAGAATCTCCATTGCTCCCACTCTTCCACTTATGCCTAGAGACTACACCATATGCATGAAAAGGAATTTGAAGAGTAGGTGAGTTAGTGGTTACTTGTAGCTTTCAATATTCGCTTCATTGATCGGGCAGTTCGGTGTACTAAGTTCTCGTTATGCGCGGAGTCCGAAGAAGGGCAGGGCCGCAAGGATCTATATTGTACGCAGTCTTACCCTGTATTTCTCTAAGAGACTATTTTTTAGGCATTAGTTAGACAAAAGGGCAATCCGGTGCACTAAAGTCCCGTTATATGCGAGATCCGGGGAAGGACTGGACCACAAGAGTCTATTGTAAGATATATGGCTAGTCTAATCAACTATAAGATATATCGTACACTAATCCCCTCAACTTATTCAAGTCGTAAACGAAAAAATATAAAGGAATGTGTGACAAGTTCCTAACAGATTAGATAAAGATCGATGACACAAATTAAAAGCCTTAATTTATGCATATGGTTGTCACTAGAATTTGTAGTAAAGTGAGAACAGAATGACAGATTAGGAATAATGTGTCTGAATCTGATTGACCCCACTATCGTTTGTTATTTTCTGATGCCCTCAAAGTCAAAAGTGGGAGCAAACTGTACTTCTAATTAATTCGATAATTTTCAATGAAACCAGAAGAAGAACATAAACATGTACTCCTCTTATTTTTATTTTGATGAATTTAACTTTTAAGGGGTCGTTTGGTATTTTTTTGACCCCTTGGTATGATGGATAAGCAAAAATAATTTTGGATAAAATTTGGTATCACCTTATTCCTTGTTTGGTTACTAATCCCAGGATTAAAAATAGTACCAGAATAATTTTGTACCTGTCAGATAGCGTAGAATAGTAATCCCAAGATAAGTTACTCCAGGATCTCAATAAGAAATATTATTAGGATAACCGGGGGCGGATGTGTAGAGCAAACGGTACGGGTTCCCGTGAACCCAGTAACTTTTGCATAGATCCTGTATTTATACTAAAAATTCATAAAAAAATATAAGAATATTTAGTTTGGAACCTAGTTTCGTTGGTCCAGTTATCATGTAGATTAACTTGAGATTGTTATTGGAACCCATAAGCTTAAAATTCTGGATCCGCCTGGATAACTAATAACAGTATAATTAATCTCCGCATAACTAATCCCGGCGTAACTTGTCTTCAAACCAAACGTCCCTTAAGTGTCTATCACAAATGAACCTATTATTATTTTAAGACTACGATTATAAAATTTAATATTTATTGAAACTTTAGTGATTTTCTAAAGATATATTTAAATTATGCCTTATCGAAAATATTGAAATTTTGTTGAACCCATGCATGATTATATTCTCCATTCCCTTAGTTTCTTCCACACCAATCACAACCACCCACATGATAAGTCGATCTTGATAACATTACCGTCAACTCCACCAAGAAGTCAACACGTTCATATTTTCATCTTCCACTAAAATTACTTGTTAAGAAGCTACTAGAAAGCCATGCAACTTTAAATATAAAGTTGTAGTAATTCGGAATGCTATAAATAGGACATTACCATAACCTCATTCCTCACAATCATAAGTACCATTTCCTCTCTCGTAAATTACGTGACATATATATTTTCTACAAAAGTTGCATAAACACGTACAACCATTACATATCATCGATCCATATCATACTTGATAACTTATTGCATTTGAATTTCAAAGCTAAGAAATGGCTCATTCCAAGCTTATAGCAGCTGCATTGTTGATTTTACTCTTTGTTGATCTTGCCTTTTGTGCAAGATTAGGAAAGTCGGTAAATGGCGGTAAAGGAGGAGGAGGTGGAGGTGGTGGAGGTGACGGAAGAGGTGGTGGTGGTGGTGGAGGGTCAGCCTTAGGGTCTGGTTCAGGTTATGGTTCGGGATATGGTTCTGGGGAAGGCTCGGGATATGGTGGGGGTGATGGGCTGTATGGGAGTGGTGGAGGTGGCGGCAGTGGAGGCGGAGGCGGAGGCGGTGGGGGTCGGGGAAATTCGGGTATGGGTAGTGGTTCTGGATATGGGTCCGGATCTGGATCAGGGTATGGATCGGGTGGAGGAATAGGAAGGGGTGGAGGCGGTGGAGGTGGTGGTGGTCGTGGTGGAGGAGGTGGTGGTGGCGGCGGCACAGGAAATGGCTCAGGGTATGGTTCTGGCTATGGAAGTGGAAGTGGCTCTGGATATGGAAGTGGTGGGGGTAGAGGAGGAGGAGGCGGTGGAGGAGGAGGTGGCGGCGGTGGTGGTGGCGGTGGCGGTGGCAGTGGCAATGGTTCAGGGTATGGTAGTGGCTCAGGGTATGGATCAGGATATGGTTCAGGATATGGTGAAGGGAATGGAGGTGATGAACGACCTTGAACTGCTGGAATATTGAAGTTCATTATACGTAAAATTTGATATATACTATTTGGTATATGCATTTTAAATTTATGATATAGAATAAGTAGCATGGTTTCACCACACCTTTATTTATGTGGTATATTAAACTTTGCTTGGTTGTGCATGTAATCCAATTTCACTATATTCTCTATTAGTATGTAACTCCAATTTAATGCAATAAATTTCCAGATTTTCCTCAAAGTACACTTTTGGATTTTTGTCTCCTCCTTAGGCCATCTCTAGCCCTTGCCTTCATTTTCTTTTTGGAGTAAAGTTACTACAACCATTTTTCTATTTTTTACTCCAAAAAAAATATTTTATTTTATATTTTTCTCTCTCTTTAATATTATATTATTATCTTTTATTTAAAGTTCTAATATCTTATTTCTATTAAAGAAATTCTATGCTATTTACCGTAGTTTCAATTTTAATGTATTTTCAATTTTCATGTATTTCCAATTTTGATGTATTTTCATTTAATGCATTTTCAGTTTTCACTTTTCAATTTTAGCAACATCTAATATTTTATATTCGCACCAATCAATTTTAGCAACATCTAATATTTTATATTTGCGCCATTCATTTTTTGAGATGATTATCTATTTATTGTACAGTTATAACTTATAATAAAATTAACTTACAATTTTACATAAAAATAATAAATGCACGAAAATTAATTTATCAAAATTATACGCCAAAGTTAAGATGTAAAATTAATATTATAAAGATATTATATAAACATAATTAGTTATATATAAAGAGCTAAATTAAAAGAGTTAAATAATAAAAAATAATAATAAAGTAAGGATGAATAGTAACGGAGGAGATGAATAGTGTTACTCCAAATTTGAAGTACCACTATTCATCCCCCATTTTGTAGCCAAAAATGGGAGAGCATTAGAGCCACATTTTGGCAAAAAATGACTGCAATTTGAAGAAATGGGGGAGAGTTGGAGATGCTCTTAAGGAAAATTAGTGGGAATTAGACAGGGGGTTTAATAGGGAAGTGCTTGACTCATGAAAAATAGACAAAGAAAATGTCCTTGATGAAATTTAAACCCACTTCATTTAGTTTTAGTGAAATTACTACAATAAATTACAACTCTAATAATAGTTTCTACTATCTTTAACTAAAAGTCTGGAGTATGAGTTTATTTAAAAAAAAAACGAGAAAACATGCTAAGACATACATATTACTTCTATTTGATGATATTTCAGTATCAGTATTGCTTATTTGTTCCAAAAATTTGTTGCCAATAGAAATAATAACAAGTGTTATGATTATTGTATTTTCATAGTTTAAGGCCATTTTTGCACCTAAAAGCAGCTGAAAGTTTAAATTAATTACCTGCTCAAGTTTAAGGATCGTTAATGCACTTTACCCAAATAATTATATCCATAAGCAAACTGATCATGATAATATAATCAACCCAGTAATCAAAGTATACCTGCAAGTAAAATGCAGCAAGCAACCTCATCTCCTCAAAGGCCCGGGCTAAAAAACCTCAAATGTTAACAGTGCCCAGTCTACTTTTAATCAAATGAACCAATGGATCTCCAACAAAATCATCACTAAATAATATAGCATAAAATGAAAATGTCGATTGCAACCAGAGAAACTATACCTACGTACTATTTAAGTTTACCACATTAAAGTATTTTTCAGTCATAAAATACGAAAATTGCTCCAAAGCCGGAAGTCTAACAATTTTCACATCTCGCATAACTCTCATACATGCTCTCCTGCAAGCTGCCAAGACTCCTGCTGATGACAATGACTTCCTCTACGAGACATAAGGAACAAATGTTTTGTATCTAACAAACCACAAGACACTTCAGAATTGTCAACTGAGTGCTAGCTATTGAAGAATTACAACTGTATAATACCGTATATATTCAGTCAATTTTATCAATTGCGACAATTATCCCCACAATGTTGCTTCCAAATATTCCTTAATGTACTGTATTTATGCTGAGCTCCTCAAATGGAAGGTCTTCTCCAACCGTGTTTCTGCATTTCACAAATTCATGACAATAGAAATGTCAACGCAGTTTCAAAATCATCATATGCATATGAAATTCTAGGTATCCATTAAGAAAACGTCAAAGACCAATAACTATGAATACAAGTCCATCCCATCACCTCTCAGAAACATTAGCTATTTTCCGAGATATCATGGACTCAGCCGTGCGAATTGCTCTTTGTGATCCAGTGATAGTTACCTTCCTGCAAAAAGGCCAAAAAGTTTTATACAATCTGTGTTCTTTGTAGTTCAACCTATCAAGTGGAACAACAGTTCCAGGACGCCATACCTGTCAGACGTACCGGACAAGAAATCACCCCTATCCGATATCTTTATTCTGGCACCACTAAGCTGCAATGAAAGGAGAGACTTAGCATAAATACATAGCAGGCAGAATAGCAACTTCTTACACACCTGACTGATCTCCATTATGCTCCTACCATTGCGCCCCAGGACTAACCCAACATGCTCATCCGCAACACCAATAGTCACAGTATTGTTTCTGTCTTCCTGCAATGCTGCCCGAGTAAGCTAAACAAGAATAGAACCATAACAGAACCAATAAGAAATTAGCCAAAGTGCAGAACCCCATCTAGAAACAGGATAATATAGTACATTCATTAGCTTCAAACCAATTAGAAAGTAAAAGAATGGTTGCAGGATAAAAACAGGTTTGCCAGCAGAGTCATAGGCATTAAGGACAACAAAGTACTTCCTTTTGGATGAAGATAAGTATTGTCTTAAGAAGGATGAAAATGGACCTTGTTCTGATGTCGGTTATTCGGATATCTTCCTCCAACTCCGCTTGGTGGCCCATAGTTCATTCCGACATAAACAGCTGAGAAAATAGGAGGTGGCAGAAATTAAAAATTCAAATGAGAATCAACAACAACAACAGTATAGTCCCACAAGTGGGGTAAAGGGAAGAATATGACTTAGAAATTAAAAATTCAAATGAGAATATGACTTAGAATAAGGGGCAGAATATGAACATCTCAAATTAGAGATACTTTATTCCTGTAACTGCTTAAACTCAATTTTCTGAATATGATGCTCCATTAAGTCAACCACTACAACAATCCCCTAAAACGTACTCTTGATAGCCGCACACAACATTACAAGAGAGACTAGGTCTAGTAGTATTTAGAAAGCGGTGCAGCCAAGAAGCTAATAAATTCCCTTCATCGTCCATTCTCTTATTTGTAGATTGAGGTCCTATAGGAAGCAATACCCAGCAATTGCTCACAGACGGCAATTAAGACATGAGAGTATGTCTTATCCATCCCAAGCTATTAGATAAAGTACAACAAGAAACAACAATAAAAAAACCAGTGTAATCCCACAAGTGGGGCCTGGGGAGGGTAGTATGTACGCAGACCTTACCCCTACCTTCGAGAAGGCAGAGAGGCTGTTTCCAAAAGACCCTCGGCTTAGGAAAGATAAAAGAAGGGCAGCAGAAATCACACCAATTCTAAAACCGAAGCAAAAATACCAAGATACAAAACTAGAACTGAGTATTGTAATCAGAAGGCCGAAACGAAAGCAACGACAAGTAATCACATAAATCAAGAAATACGAAAATTAACTAATGCTAACTCATCTACTAAAGCTATTAGATAAAGTAAGTACTATAAATTAGTTACATTTGCATCATACCTGCATATTGGAATGGTGCATTCATGGACTGCATGTAATGAGGGTCTTCTGCTAACTTATATAGAATCAATTCAATAGCCCGCATCTGCTCGTCTAGAGTTCCGGTCACTGTAACTACCCTATCATGCAGTCCTGGGAAATTGTTATCCTGAGGAGATATTTTTATGCCAGCCCTGGAGTCTTCAATAAATGACCTGAACAAGAAAAATGCACATACTCAATATTAAAATTCCACAACCATCTGATTCTGCATATGAAAAATATTTTCAAAAGCTAACCAAGAAAAATATTGCACAAGCATTCACTTCTATAAATTAGTTGTGGAGGACAATATGCAAATAGACTTCCATACTATATTTACAACTCACAATACCACCAAATAAGCGGGTTATATAAGGATTTCTTTCTTGAGGGTTACATATATAGGGATTACCCTCAATTTTCAGTTCATCATATGTAAACCTGACATTTGGAACCATATAACATAACCTCCTCAAGGTTATGGAATAAAGTGAAAATTTAACTTTTCCTTCCAAACTAGAAGCGAGTGGCACACACTTAAAACAAGTGGACTTTGGTTCTAAGCCCTTTCTCCATCCAAAAGCACAAACACACTATAACCTCCTCCATGACTTCATTTCATTAAATGACAAAGACAAGAAAAAGAAAGTATTATGGCAGCAAAAAAAGAAAATAAGATCCATCCTGTCGCATCTCTTTGTATTTCACTAGCTGCTAAGAACAAGAAGAAAAAGGTAGGAAAAACAAAACAGAGAGGCAAAAATAAAAAGGAGAGGAAAAAAAGGACGAAATAAAAATAGAGTATTTCTTCTCCAAAAAAAAAAGACTATTCATGATGAGGCCACCCCCTGTTTGCTATCACAGCATACATGAGAGAACTATTTTTGGTTTCTACCCGCCAACAATTTTTTTGGGAATGGCAATGAATTCTCTTTTGCTTTCAGACTCCTCTTTCCTACCAAAGGAAGAAGAACAAGGAATCAAGTAATACATAGCCGTTGTTAATCAGATAATATGCTGCAGTATTAACGGGTTTAAGAAGTAGGTTTTTCCCCTTCGAAATTATACCATGGTTAGAAAAAAAATCATATATATATGGTTCGTCCTTCAAATTCATTTCATAAGGAGTTGAAAGAGCTTTTACAAGATGAACTCCATTAATCCTTAAACCTAACACCTGCACTACTTTCTAACCTTTCTCTCTTCTTTACTTTATAACTTTTTGACCCAGCCAAATAGTGTGAGATAGCACAGATACAAAAAAATTTCTCCCACTAGAAGAATACTAAAGTATAATGGCCCGACATGAATTGAACAAGGAAAAGATAACAAAGTACTTGGCACGCATAGAGCTGTAAAATAAGTTGCAATCTTGATAACTTGCGAAGTCACTGTCAAGCAAATAAATATGTTGAAGAGCATAGTAATACTAACTAGACAAGATGTTCTTAGCCGGATAAAGAACAATTTTTTGCGGTCAAATTGAATTTGTAATATGCAACTAGAGCTTTTGAGAGCATTCTTTTTTTCTTTTGACTTTTTTTTTAATAAGTAGCTTTCTGAGAGCATTCTCAATGTATATCTATATTGATAAACAATTCTGCCTATAGCATAACATAAGAAGAAAACCAACTATAACCGTAGCCTTCTGAGCTAAGCACGGTCAGAACTTTGGTCAGCACCCTAAAATCCTCACAACCAGATTGAGTTGTTCAGAATATTTGAGGAAATTAATAAAAATAGAACCTAATAAAATTCCAGCAGACAACTTCAAGAAAACTATTTAGATCACGCATCAGCGCTACACAAAGAGGACAACTTTGATCTGGATGAGGCAGCAGTTCGCACCATGATGTTAACCAAGTGAGCCATGCAGCAGTTACCAAAAAAATAAGCTCAAATATTCACGTTAGGTACGAAACTTAGCCAAATCAACAGCGAGCACAGAACCAAAAACTTCTAACAGCATATACAATTCGATCTAAAAGGGTTATTAACTGGAATCCAAAGGTTGCATGGCCATCCTGCTATCAGCCAAAAGCTCAAAGACAAACTCGTGGTAGTCAAAATAAAGTCAAGCAACTCATTCCAGCGCAAGACTATACCATTTCGACATACATTTTTGCAAAAACTTCATAACCAAGAGCAGAAAGAATATTCGTTTCATTATGTCGTGTAGGGAAGTCAATGTTATAACAATCAAATTCCAGGATATTCGCTTGGTGATAGTCTGTTATGTCAGAATGAGATTATGAAATTTGCAGGAGCAGTGTAGGGGAAAGATATGTATCCTCAACGCTTATACAACATAAAGTGAGTAGAATTCATACTTTATTGTGGCTCCTCCTTTCCCAATTATTCCACCACATGAGCTGTTGGGCACAACTAGTCTAAATCTTGAGCGTGGTTCAGCATCGCCACCATCTTCAACATAAAACTGATCCAGAAGAAGATAGTATTTTAATCTATAGATCAAGAGAAGTATAAGAAACAGGAGTGGACATGACATTACCTCATCTAGCAATTTACCAAGAATAAGATCAACTGCCTTGAGTAAGTCATCGAGCAACCCAGATACCATCACAACTCTATCTGATGTTCCAGGGAAAAATTCAAAGTTGCGTGACAACTGAATTCTAGCCCCAGAACGAGATTGAAACTCAGTGATAGTTGAACCACCTTTTCCAATAATTGAACCGGCTTCAGCATTTGATAGAAGGAACTTGGCATAAGTTGTCTTCTCCTCATGGTCTGGGAATAAGACAAGCATAAAAAAGAGGATTGTTAGACCTTTCTTGAGTACTTAGCAGAAACCCCTCTAAAGGTGATATTCCGAGTTTAATGATTTTCAACAATAATTGCAAAATATAATAAAGAAACCTTTTTAAAATAGAACAAACTTTCTTCTCATTATCATGAACGTAGATTGAAATGCTACACGTGTCCAGCTTATCATACTGAGTAGCTTTGCAAACCTAACCCCCTAATAATGAGAATAAATTTTGTAGCCTCATTTCTCACATCCCTAATGCAGCAGAAGAGATATATTCCCATGGAGAGTGCCAAAAACTTTTGATATGTGATGTTTTATTACAGCCAATTAACGATACATTATCATGCCAATGCCACAAATTAAGTCAACCAGTAAATTACCAGCTTCTCATGCATAGTGTATATGCACATTTGTGATCTATAAAATTCCAAAATGAGAAGGAATGGAAGCAGATTTAGTATATAATACACTGGTTCATCAGAATCCAATACTTTTGGCTCAAAAATTGTATGTGTTAAAAATCTACTAAATAAGTAAAAATAATAATAAATATTAAAAAAAAAATACAAAGTCGAGGGTCTATCGGAAACAGCCTCTCTGCCCTATCGGGGTAGAGGTAAGGTCTGCGTACACATTACCCTCCCCAGACCCCACTTGTGGGATTTTACTGGGTCGTTGTTGTTGTTGTTATATAAAAAAGTACAAAGAATAAATTCTGAAACCAGTAAATCAAATGGCCATCGATAGAATTTCGAACTCGAACCTATAAAGTTCAAATCCTGGATCCGTCTCAGAAGGAAAGTATAAGTATTGGAAATAGTTCTTTTAATTAGTAAAGCTTCAGTTTGTTAAAGACATTTATTTTGCTCAATATGGAGTTAAGAATCGAAAAGCTGGAGAAAAGTTTGCACTCATTCAATTTCTGATTCAGTCTCCCTTGGATGTTACCAATATATGTGCTGCTTTCATGGTGAAATACTGCAATCATACAAAACCTTTTGCCTCAGATTTCACATGATGTTTTAAAGAAAGAGTAACTAGTATGAATAGAAACTCATAAAGTGATATAGCTCGAACTTGTGAACCTTCCATACAGGGATTTCCTTGCGGGCTATTTTTGGTATACGATGTTCATCTTAAGGAACGGGATAGCTAAAGATGTTTCACCAAAGCACATTTTCGGCACATACAAGAAGGTTTTTACCTTTTTTATGCAGGTAAATAGATGGTAATAGTTGAATAATGAGGCTCAGGTGCCTCTGGTACAGAATTGGATATGAAAAACGCTTTCGAAAGACTAAGCACCTTCTCTATTAGTATTTCTAAAGGAAAAAACTCCCCTCGACCCGTAATATCACGTGATTGAGAGACAGCATTGACGCATTTGAACTTCAGAATTAAGAGGCAAAATCATTAAAAGAACAGCAGCTCAATTTTAAAAATATGTAGGCTTCAATGAATGCATGATGCAAGGAAGCTCTTTGAGATAAAATAAGTATTGGCTACAATAGCATACTTTCAGCTAAAATCTTAAATAATATCATGAATGTTGAAGCAATTTCATGAAGGGTGTATATATTTTTATGTGTAGGTGTGTGTAATGTCCGTTGAGAAAATTAACATGAGGTTATCCATAAGATTCAAGGATCCTTTACAGTAGCAACTACTAAATCCATGGCACCTAGAAATGCCTACAAGGTAAATACCACAACAAATACAGTATTTTCTCATTTTGAGGCATCAAAACAAGCACAATAGCAGCCACAACAACTACGCCTCAGTCCCAAACAAAGGAGGTTGCGGTAGGGTGACAGCCAGCGTAACACTAGCCAATTTCATGATGAATCCTCACATTACAGATTTCAACAAGCGCACATCACAGAAATAAAAGCAAGCCACGACATCTGATTGTGAGCTCAGATTTAGTCCACAGGTAGCAAATAAATAACTTCCATTTCGGATAATATGCCCCACAAACAGCAAATTTCTTCTATTCCCAGTTTCCTATGAATTTCCACAAATGCATTTGCCGATCTTTAAACTAAACATATTACTATTATCAACTCACAAATAGTCCATAAAATCACCAAATGTCCCCCATCCTTAGGGTTTTAAAACAACAGTAATCAATACCTATACAAATATCAGCTCAAAACCTGTTCGCATTCGAATTTTCACATTGTACCAGTTTCCAGACGGAAAGGGATCAAACACAACAGAATTCTAAAATCACATTATCAAAAAATTCAAAAACTATAACTAAAAAAATATAAAAAAGCGACAATAGATAGCAGATCCAAAGCTAGTTATATTCACATTACAACAATACACGGAAATTTTGAAAATTAGTAAAAAAAAAGTGATTAGAGATATATAAAACCTTGAGAAGGAGGAGAAGAAGGCGGAGATTTGCGAGGGGAAGATTGCTCCAGCTGACTTTCAGCTGACGAATTGTAGTTCGATTCTGCTCCTGCTCCTTCCATTGCCATTTTCGGGGAGTATAATCACTGTGTGTGTGTGTGGTTTTAAGAAGAATGTGAAGAAGGTAGAGATTTATTAGAAGAAGAGGAAATGGAAAGAGAGTGGAAGCATGTGCTGAAGAAGGGGAGTGAGAGGTGCTTTGCCGGGATGAAGAAGACTTTTCTGGTGTTTTATTTTAGACCTTGAAAACCGCCTCTTTTGGACAACTACTCAGATTTCCGTTTTTTCTTTTTTTTATATTATTTTTCTTTTTCTTCTTCTTATTTTGCATTTTGTTTTCTAGCTTGAGAAAATCTAATAGTAAAGGATGTGCTTGTGAGAGTTATTTCACAAATTATCATTCATCTTTAATTATTCAGCTAAAGTTATAAATTATTTTTGAACAAAAAAAAATTGGTTAACTTTATCTAAATATTACAAAAATTATTAAACTATCTTTTATAACTAAAAAAAATTATTTAATATTGCTTAAATATCATTGAAATGTATGTCTCATTTGTTTCCTTTCAATGACTTTTTCCTTTTGGAATAAAGTTGAGTAATTTTTACAAAGATAGTTTAGTGACCTTCGTGATACTTAGGTAAAGTTCAATATTTTTATAAATAAAAAAATAAGTTAGTAGTTTTTGTATAAGAAAATAAAAGTTACGTGATCATCCATAAAATTAACTTTGAACTAGAAAACTTACCTAACTGCTATTCTCTATTGGTTCCTTTACACAGTGGTTGAGCCACATGTAGTTGACACCCCTTGTTGAAAAAAAATTACACTGTGTAGTTAGGTAAAATAAAAATATCTTATGTATATACACTATAAGTTGACACTCTCTAACTTCTTTTTGAATTTACTTTTTTATATTTTGACCCCGTGAGTAAAAATTCTAGTTCCGCCACAGCCGTTACAATTTAGGAAATAACTCCAAAACCTATTCTTTTTCGTTCTATGAATAGGCGTTTGTACATAAAAATTATAATTTTTGAAAAAAATTGTATTTGGAGTTAAGTTGAATATGATATTTGGAATTTGAAATTATGTTTGGATATGCATTTCACTTGAAAGAAGTTACAATTTTGTGAGTGAAGAATAAGTTTTTCTAAAAATTTAAAATAAAAAATTCATTTTCTAAAAAAATTCAAAAACTTACAAAATTTTATGGACAAACACATTTTTTTAAAAATTTTAACTTTAGAAAAAAAAAAGAAAAAAAGTTATGGACAACCGGACCTTAGACATTTGCATTACATATATTTGCACGCGAATAAATGATGATTGCCAATTTTCCACACAGTTAGGCACTACCGAACTAGCTGAGGCAAAATTCTCTAAGGGGTCGTTCGGTTTGAATAAAGCTTATGCCGGGATAAGTTATGTTGGAATAAGTTATGCTGAAATTAATTATGTTGGGATTGTTTTCTATTCATTGTTTGGTATGTTGTATTAAAAATGATAATTGCATAATTTCTAAAAAGAAGGTATAAGTTATCCCGATACTAATTATCCCACCTCTATAAGGTATAAGTTATTCCGGTGTTAATTTTAATCCCGAGATAGCTTATACCTGGTTTGCTAACCAAACAAAGTATTAAGGTGGTATTAAATTTTTATACCTGCTTATACCTCGTACCAAACGACCCCAAAGTGTACATTTAAAGCTTACCAAAAACAAGAGACTCCACACACATCTTGTATACTGGTGCTATATCTAGTATTGGTAAATTGTTGTTACTTCCTATCTTTTTTTGGTTGCAGTTTTGAGATAGTTCAGAAATAGTTGGCAGAATTTTCCAAGTCAACTATAACATAAAATAGAACAGCTTGAGTTGGTAGTTTGTTTTTTTTGTGAAACAAGTAGTGTAGTTTTCAATTAATATTAGAAAAATGTCAATTATATAAGTGTATTATCCAGTATAATTTATTTCGTTATTTAATTGTATTTATAATTTAACGGGAAAAAAATTCAAGTAGAACATGCAGAAGTAAAGATCGTGCGTGTACAAAATTTTCTCTATCACATGGATAGTTGAATACGTCTTCAGAGAATAGGACGGATTCCACGATTTCTTAATCATTGGCCAGATCTATTTCACAAAGCCAGAAACTATTAACCAGTAATGGTTTTTGTAAAAAAGTGGCATTTGGATTTTGTCTTAATTTAATTTCCAAACGAATAAAAAATACTTTTGGGAAGTTTGTGCGTTTGGATTTTTTAAGAAAATTTCATTAAAAAGTACTTGTACTAACTTATACAAGGAGGAACATTGAAGAGATTGTTTCAATTCCATTATACAGAGGATATTTGAATTGACTTATTTTAAGTGTTTATTGGCTTTTAAATATTTTTTAATTTTTGTGATGTTTGGCATTAATAAAAAATCTTATAACACTTACTTTTAGGCATGAAAAGTACTCCCTTCGTTTACTTCTACTTGGCACGTGATTGCTTATGATTCACGTCAGTTGAAGCCTCATGAGAAGAACTACCCTATTCATGATTTGGAGTTGGCTACCATTGTTCATGCATTGAATATTTGGAGACACTATCTCTATGGTGTGTCTTGTGAGGTTTTTACAGATCATCCGAGCCTCCAACACTTGTTCAAACAGAAGGATCTAAATTTGAGGCAGCAGAGATGGTTGGAGCTGCTAAAGGACTATGATATGACTATTCTGTATCATCCGGGGATGGTCAATGTAGTGGTTGATGCCTTCAGTTGGAAGGCAGTGAGTATGGATAGCCTTGCATTCATTCCTATTGGTGAGAGACCTCTTGCAGTTGATGTTCAGGCCTTGCCCAACCAGTTCGTGAGATTAGATGTTTCGGAGCCCAGTCAGGTTCTAGCATGTGTGCTTTCTCGGTCTTCCTTATTTGATTGCATCAGATAGCGTCAGTATGATGATCCTCATTTACTTGTCCTCAAGGACAAGGTTCAGCACGGTGATTCCAGAGATGTTACTATTGGAGATGATGGGGTGTTGGGGTGTAGGGCCGGATATGTGTGCCCAATGTAGGTGGGTTACGTGAGTTGATTCTTGAGGAGGCCCACAGCTCGCGATATTCCATTCATCCGGGTTGCCGCGAAGATGTACCAGGACTTGAGGCAGCATTATTGGTGGAGGAGGATAAAGAAGGATATAGTGGGATTTGTAGCTCGGTGCCTTAACTATCAGCAGGTAAAGTATGAACATCAGAGACCAGGCGGATTGCTTCAGAGGATAGAGATTCCAGAGTGGAAGTGGGAGTGGATCACCATGGATTTTGTTGTTGGGCTACCACGGACTTCGAGGAAGTTCGACGCTATTTGGGTGATTGTAGATCGGCTGACCAAGTCCGCGCACTTTATTCCAATTGGTACTACTTATTCTTCAGAGCGGTTGGCTGAGATTTACATTCGAGAGATTGTTCGCCTTCACGGTGTGCCAGTGTCCATTTCATATCAGAGCACGCAGTTTACATCGCAGTTTAAGTGAGCCGTGCAGCAAGAGTTGGGCACCCAGGTTGAGTTGAGTACAATATTTCACCCTCACACGGATGAATAGTCCGAGCACACTATTCAGATATTGGAGGACATGTTACGAGCTTGTGTCATTGATTTTGGGGGTTCATGGGATGAGTTTCTGCCGTTCGCGGAGTTTGCCTATAACAACTGTTACCAGTCGAGCATTCACATGGCTCCGTATGAGGCTTTGTATGGGAGACGGTGTAGATCTTCATGGTTTGGTTTGAGCCGGTGAGGCTAGGCTATTGGGTACTGAATTGGTTCAGGATTCTTTAGACAAGGTTAAATTGATTCACGATGGCTTCGCAGGCGTAGGATAGACAGAAGAACTATGCCGACAAGAAGGTCCGTGATGTTGCTTACATGGTTGGGCAGAAGGTTCTGCAGAAGGTTTCACCCATGAAGGCTGTTTTGAAGTTCGGAAAGAAATGCAAGTTGAGCCCTCGGTTTATTGGTCCATTTGAGGTACTTCAGAGGATTGGAGAGGTGGCTTACAAGCTTGCCTTGCCACCTAGTTTGCGAGTGTGCATCTAGTATTTCATGTTTCTATGCTCCAGAAGTATGTCGGTGATCCGTCTCATGTTTTGGATTTCAGCACGGTTCAGTTGGATGATAATATGACTTATGATGTGGAGCCGGTGGCCATTTTAGATCGGGATGTTCGAAAGTTGAGGTCAAAGGATATAGCTTTAGTGAAAGTGCAATTGATAGGTCAGCCAGTTGAGGAGGCTACTTGGGAGACCGAGCGGGAGATGCAAAACAGATATCCACACCTACTTGAGACTCCAGGTATGTTTCTAGACCCGTTCGAGGACGAACGTTTGATTAAAAAGGGGAGGATGTAACGATACGGCCGGTCGTTTCGAGAGTTGTAGACTCGTTCAACCATTTACTGTTCCTTTTGTGCTTTATAGGTGTTATATGACTTACGGGCTAGTCGGTTCGGGTCCGGAAAGAATTCGAAATTAATTGAGACACTTAGTCTCAAGGTTGGAGGCTTAAGTTGGAAAAGTTGACCGGATGTTGTCTTATGTGTAAACGACCCCGGATTTGAATTTCAATGGTTCCATTAGCTCTATTGGGTGATTTTGGACTTAGGAGCATGCCCGAATTGTGATTTGGAGGTCCGTAGTGGAATTAGGCATAAAATGGAAAAAGTTGAATTTTTGGGACCGGGGGTGAACTTTTTGATATCGGGGTCGGATTGGGATTCCAGAAGTTGGAGTAGGTCTGTGGTGTCATTTGTGACTTGTGTGCAAATTTGGAGTCAATCGTACGTGGTTTGATAGGTTTCAGCGTCGGTTTTAGAAATTGGAAGTTTCAAAGTTCATTAGGCTTGAACCTATGTGTGATTTGTGTTTTTGATGTTGTTTGAGGTGATTTGAGGGTTCGACTAAGTTCTTATGATGTTTTGGGACTCTATGGTATGTCTGGTTGAGATCCCAGGGTGGCTCGAGTTGATTTCGGGTGGTTAACGGAACCAAGGTTTGAAGTTGAAGAATTTCTGAAGATTTGCAACTACTGGTGTAATCGCGCCTGCGGAGGGCGAACCGCAGATCTGAGCTAGCAGGTGTGTGGTAGGGTCTGCAGATGTGGAGTCTAAAGAGAGGTAAGTAGAAGGTCGCATGTGCGAAGGTTTTCGCGCTCATGCGTGTCCGCTGATACGGCAGGAGGACCGCAGAGCG